AGCGGATTCTTCGTTCATTATTCGGGACCAATGCGTGTTGATCTGCTGGCTGTACCTCCGGTGCAAGGTGTGCCCTTATCTTGCGACGTGCGGAGAACGAGCGCTCCCTTTCGTTCGGCCCACTTTTCGGTCCCTTGTTTAAAGCCAGTGCTCCCTCTTTTGTTCAGCTCACGTTTCCGGTATTTTGTGGGAGACAAGAGCTTGCCCTTTTGTTCGTTTCAACTCTAAGGTGGCCTGCGGTGTAGGGGGGGGGAGTCCGTGTTCAGCTGCCTCCACTTCATTACAGTCAGTCGTCGCTGACTGTTAAAATATGTGAACAATGAGTAGTGTCTGACCGACGTTCGATCTGCGTCTCGAGTTAACCGTACGGATGCAAGAAATTTAATGGAAACAGCGATTTTGTGTGCGATTTTACTATTGAATACATATCAAAACTGAAGCAAAAAATTATTACAGTACATGCAATCATAACGGGCGTATGAAAAATGACTACTCGCCGATTGAATTCACATAACAACATCATATCACGATGGAAATTACAAGTCATTTTAATTCACACCATCGTGCGAGAGGGTCTCCATCCATCATTCAGTATATGCAGAACTGCAACCGCTCCATTCACGGTACGCCATCCAGCGCGCATTGGTGAAGGCCGACGGCGCACTGCAGCACCGTCACTTTGTAGCAAAGTGAGGAACGACATATCATGCCATAGAGTGACGATGACACGCAAGAACAACGATGTCCAACCGAAGAAGTGAAACATGTAACATTAACATGTACATATTAGAAACTACAACATCTTAAGACGGAAATTTACGACTTTTAGGGTAATCCACAGCATGTGCGAAACGGATTCCATCCGCCCACTTTACATCACCTAGCGCAGTTTCAACCGCTGCAGCACGACCCGTTAACGGTTAACCACGCGCATTGAAGCGTCACTTTGTTGGAGCGCGGATAGCCACATGATGAAGGTGGAGTTTAGTTAAGCGCGACTGGCTAAAAGTTCAACACAGAGGGTTTGGGAAAACTGATTGCGTATGGCGATTTTTATAAAAGTATTTTACGCCAACTCATGTTCTATCATTTATTTAGTTGCTAGCATCCATCCTGCTTGACCAATTCAACGACGACAGTAAGTCAGTAGTGGCTGCTGTCGCACTTGCTGATAGGAGTTGTAACAGTTTTGTTTTTCTGGTATGTCTGTGTCTTGTATCAACTTTCAGTAGCAGTTTCTGAAGTCTGTTAGCGAATCTGTGTTTAGTTGGATAATGGTACTTTCTGTCCTAAGCGTAGATCGGGACAAAGTGCAGATGCGGGATATACACGGACTCTATACCTGACGAGGAAGTACCGGCATCAGACGGTCAACTTTCGGGTGCATTGGTTTAAACGTGGCTCTAATGGAACGGTTGAAAGAGTGAGTGCTCGTCAGGCATATTAATGTCGAATTTAGCCTGTGAAAGCGGTTGTCAGTGTTCGATGATGGAATAATGAAAATTATGTTGGCTTAATGCAGAGCAGCATGGTCGATAAAAATGAATAGCTAAACACATTGCTCTCCACGTTTACGTCAATCTTCTTACAGGCTGTTTGACTTTAGCAGTTTTTTAGCTGTTAACGTATTTTCTGTGATAAGTTAACGTCGATAAACATATGCTTGGATAGTTACTGTTTATATAATATAGCAGCTGGAATTGCAAAAACAGTCGGCTATGTCATGTGAAAGAAGTCACTATTCGGTTAGCCCCGTTTGCCAGTTTCTGCTCCTTTGACTGTGTCACTGGCGTGAAAACAAAATGTGTGGTGGTTATACTTGATCAAGAAGTTAGAACGATAATATGAGCTGCAACGGACGAAGGAAGTTTTGCCGTGGTTTCTTCGACAGTAGTCGAATCGTAGCTTAACTCTAATGTGACCCCGTGGAAAAATCTCATCTAGTGGTTTTCAGTGCAAATCTGGTGCGCAATTTTAGCCGTTCACTGTGATTTTTCATTGATGCCGAGATCGGAATTCGTTTATCTTTACCTGTTCAGTTCTCTGAGGTCGATTTGCGTTCGAAAAGCCCGGCCACGACAGCGGTCTACGCTTTACTACTAAATGAAAAAAGTTTGTATTTGGAATGTCGGCCTTCCTTTTACTGTCATGATGGCGGCCATTTCTGACGCCCTTATTTTCATATAGTTAATGGTGGGGTGCTGATCTTTAACTCCATGTTGTCAGCCATGAGTCTTTTTTAATGGAATAATGGACACCATATTATAATGGTGAGTTGTTAGAGTCGAATTCCCACATGCAGACAAGGTATTCTCTCACCATCCACCACCTGTAAGACGTTGAGAAGGGAAGTCTAACAGTTCTGGCGGACGAGTCCAAACGTTAGCTTACCAAGGATG